GGATCAGAGTAGGAAATTAATAACCTTCTGCAGATCCTGACTGTACACTGTTGTCATTTACTGCACCTTATTTAATGAACAATAATTAAATTACAAAACTGCAAAGTCCATTGAAATTAACTATAAACAAGGCTGTCCTACTGTATGCCACAGAGGCATTTGCGGGAGAGGGGGGAAATATAGCTCCTACACATTCATGACCTCAGGACTAGATGGGGGTGAACGGTCAGCATCATGCCCCAGCTGTACTTTACCCCCGGGAAAAGGACTCCCACTACCTATTAGATAGGTGACTGGGTAAGCCCCAGAGCTGGTCTGGATACAGAGACTAGAAGAAATATCCTTTGCTTCTACCAGCAGTCAGTAATAATATCATCTTGGCCATGCAAACAAGTGAGTGGTCACACCAGTGTTACTATTTATTATGAACTGTTGGAGGTAGCATTTGAAACCTTGTTTGGAGTTAAATGATGATAATATCTATACAAATTTTATACTAAATTTCTTTGTATTTAACAGTTGCAAATATGGTAATGCAGGAAAACTGTAAGGTTATACCTGGCAAATTTAACATACTTGGAATCTGTACTAGAGAAAATTATGCAGATGAGTAGAGTACTGAATTTTGTAATTATTAATTTTATTTATTGCTGGTCTGACTATTTATTTGAAGCATTTGAATGAAAGTATGTCATACTTTTTTTCAAGAGCTTGTTGTTCATTTGTATATTTGAGGCCCTCTAAATTGATAACTTTTCATATCTTACATAGCACAGTTTTTAAACATTTTATGTGTATAAAATTAATTTAATTGAAACTTTTGTTAAATCCATGATAATGAAATCTGGATTTGACTGTAAGTATTGAATTTATGGTTAAATTATTGTGCAGTGTAGAATATTTGCATATGCTCAGTTGCTTAATTTCTAATTAATTTATTTAATGTCTGATTATGCATTATGTTAATATGATTAAAGATCAGAGGAACATAATAATATTAAATGAATCCATGTATGACACTTGAATGAATTGAGTAAATTCTGCTATTTTAAAAGCATGTTTATATGTGAATGGCAAACACAGATTTTATTTTGTCAGATAAGCATGCTGAAGATTTTGTTGGCTTCATGCTGTGGCTGGCGTATGTTATTGCTTCTGTAGTCAATTCATACTTATGGTGTGTGCCATATATTGGCTTAGGTTTCGGGACACAAGTTCCTCTTGTGATGCCTCGTCGAAGCGGTACGTCATAACAAACCCTCCAGATGACTTCTCACTGCTGCCAACAGATCAGGTGAGCTACTCCTGTAATTATAATCTGTATACATCGGCATTTTAACATGTTGGATTGCCTTATAACAAAAGCACCTCCATTTTGTCTTTGCTTTTGTATGAATTAATCCTGTTTCTACATTATCTATTTCCCTATTGTATTTCTTGTTATCCTCACTTGATATTTATATCAAGTTGCTGGCCTCCTCAGAACTGTTTAATTTCATCTTTGATAATGTAAAAGAAATCACAAACTTCTCTTGTAGTACTGATCCTGTTTCTGAATAATGACAATGATGTGTTGCGTACATTTTGGAGATCCTTGCTGTTTCCATATTTAAGGTAAATTTCCTATTTGTTGTTTGTACCAGTACTTACAGTGCAGGTCCACAGGTCGTGGAAACTGCTCTGTTTTGTTTCTTTCTGCCAACCTGTACTGTAATATCAATATTGGCCATTGCTTTGTCACTTCTTTTTGTAGACAGAGGCAGTAAGGATCATCACAGTGTTGGCAATGCAGTCTAAATTTACACAGTTTTCATCTGGAAACAGGATTTACATGAACATTGAACCAACTTTAAAGCCTGGCATTTTTTATTTTATTGTTTCTGTTGCCAAAAATCTTGGTTTCAGACTTCACTTTTTTTATTTCTTAATACTCAGTCTATGTTTGTTGCTGGCAGTCTTCAAGGTTGTTGCATTGTATAGTATTTTTAGTATTACCCGTGTTTAGGAGGAACATTCTGCTTCTGCATTGTTGGCATACAGCCAGAACAACATGGTGCGACAACCAAGTAGGTCACCATCTGTACTCGCATTTGCCACAAAAACCTTAAATTCTTTACCACTCTATAGGGAGGCAACACCACTGAATATGGAAGCAGTATGTCCTTCTGAAATGTTGGTGCACAGCCAAAAGACTACATGACTCAACAACTCAGAAGATCGTACTCTATACTGACACTATTATAATAAATTCTTCTCAGTTACCAGCTGTATTAGATAGATGAAAGGAAAAAACCAGTGTTTTGAGAACCGTCTTCATCCTCGTCCTCAGGATACTGAAAACTTCAGACTTCAGACGTTTTCCTTTCAACAACCTGACGCAGGTGGTAGCCCTAGAAGAATATATTATTCTTATCTATTGTTGATAGCACTGTACATGAGCCATGTTTTTGAAAGATGTCTCAGATGCTATAAATCAGTCCAGGATGTAATAATCTCTGTGCCAATCCCAGGTTAGAATTTTGAGATCTGTTCACTGTTTACAGGTTTTATGCAAATACCCAGCAAACTTGGTAAATATTTGTTAGCTCTATACTTGTACCTGAATACTGTTTCAGATCTTGTCACTATTTGTAAGTTCTGTGCTTTGCCACAGTTTGAGCCTATGTTACTACTTCAATTGAACACTGATGATATCCTATTTAAATTTGCTTCTTATATCTTAGCCACTTGACACTGATACTTAATGTTGTCTTTTTTCAGGTTTTTGTCTTGATGCAGTTTGATCCAGGGTTAGAGTATAAACCCAACAGAGGAACACGAGGAAAAGATGACAACTCCTGACTATTGCTCTGTAGCGCCCTCACTGACGGACCTTACTCCTACATCTAGGCCACCTGCTCAATGCCTATGTTGAACTGCTGCCATCGAGTCTGTCAAGTAACCCATCTGCATCAGGGAGGGAACATTGCAAGCCACTTGAAATAATAGCAGTCACATGTTTATGTTAACTAGGTTGACTGCAGAATACAGGGATACATATTGTACTTTTATCCTTGCTGGCTTCACAGTCGGATATGGCATAACATTGAACTTACTCTTGACCTTGTTTGTACAGGAAGAGAGAGAATAATTTCTACGCAGTTGTGTATTTTTAATACAATGCAAGATTAGTGCTTTTTCTTCTATTGCCATCCAGTCAGATAGTAACTGAGTTTCATTTCATGGCTTCAGGACCTCTGAAGTTTAATTGTTTTTTGTTGTAGTGCCTATATTCAACATCATTTCAACCCAACAACAAACGATTAAATTGACCATTGCTTGGTTTAAAGCAGTGGTTGGTTTATTGTGAGTAATATATCCAAAACTTTCAAACTCCAAAGATACCATAAGAGTGACATGACATTTTTCTTCACCCAGAATATCTCTGAGTGTAAAAACATTTACAGTCAACATCAACGTAATAGTTGTGTACACATACATCAAATTATTCTTTGGAGTTTGTACATTTTTGGAATGCTAGTGACACTGTTGGGTGTTGTATGTTGTTTTTGTGAGATTCCATTCAAGTGGGAGCTGAAAACATTGCAAGTTCTTTTACTTAAGTGGAAGAAGAGCCTGACTGTCGATGGCAGGGTCTCATCACCGGAGTAAAGGTCTTTGTTGGGTCATGGGGGTTCCATTTGGTGATCCCTTTGACCAGTGTGTAATATGGGGGTTGCTACAAAATAAGACCATAAATAGAAGACTCTTTATAGGGAGAAGAGAATACAATTGAACTTTTTCTAACCTAAATGCCCACTAAAATCAATGGACTTTTGAAGCACAAGACTTTGTCCTACCCTCATTGCAATTCATTTCAGATGTAAGCAAGATGGTGAAAAGATTGTGCTTGTTCAGAACTCCCGTTTGCCAGGAGGAGATGAATCTAAGAGTAGCAAGTTTGCATCAGTGGAAAGTCAGCTGTATTCCTTTATACTTAAATTTTTGTGCTAAATTTGCAATTCTTACCATTGTTCACTCACCCATTTCCTACGTGATGGAATGTGCTTATGATGGAACAGACATATAAATGTAGTGTAATTATTCATTGTTTGAAAAACGAATTTCTTTGTGTGATTCAAATAGTCCCTTCTACAGAAAAGCCTGACAGTTTTGCTGTAAAGTAGGGTAGATTGGCAAGATCAGTATAATATTATGGAAGATATTCAGGAGAACTGACTTTCCAGTAACAAACTTTATAATGCCTGGGGTTAACTTGATGTGTTGGCAGCCAATCCCATGTACAGAGAAGAGAGACTAGTGCCTGTTTGCCTGTCGATTGTACCATGCCTGAGTTGACCCCAGATGTAACATACATAAACACAAGCAAGGTGGCTGGCCCACTCAAAAGAAGTTGAAAACTTGAAAAGTGAACTTCTTATTCTATTACAATCATCTCTAATCTTCTGGAGGAAAAGAACTTTAATTTCTTTTTCCTTGATGTTCCAGAAGATTCTTTTGTTGTTTCAGTGAAATCAATGACACAGACATTTCCTACATCCTCGTGTGAATGTGACATTTTTATATTTCTCATAATCCTTTTACAGGTGTTTTATTATACCTACTGTTCTAAAGATGCATGTCAGTTGGCTGAGGTTTTCACATTCTGCTTCTTCTGTGACAAGTGGAGCCATCTATTTCAGAAAAATGTAGAATGAAGTTTAGATGGCATCGTAATACAGTAAAACCTCTCTAAGTTGGACACTTGGGGTTCCATGAAAATGTGTCCAACTTTCAGAGGTGTCCAAGAAAAATCATATTGTGGTCTAATGACATTATAATCTATTTACTTACATACACTAACTACTGTAGGCTTACTTGAATTAAGAATTAATGACAATAGTATTAATAATAATCTTTTGAAGCCCACTCCCATGCATTGCACATTACTCCCCAGCCTCAATAACATTTTCTAAAGTTAATTACACTAATTTTCGCTTCCCCATCGCAAAAAGAAAAATTCCATTTCTGTTAACACAGTCTGAACTCAAATGCAAGCACAGTACTGACGGAGTTAAAGCTGTGTCTTCTGCAATACTGTAGTCCAGTTAAGGATTCAGCAAAAGAATAGTTAACCTTTAAAGACGGGGATTTAAATGGCAATGTGGTAGCAGCCCTTCGGAGTTTTTGTGACCACACAGAAAAATTTGTTTCCCCTACTTCAGTGGATACACATTCTTTTCACAGATCATGCCGAGGAATGTGAGTAGCTTAGATTAGGGGGTCTGAAAACAAAGCCGAAACCCACTTGACAATAACAATGTTTATTGCTGTTTATGGTTATAGTTCCGGGGTTGACAGCTCATGTTGAACTTGTCAGAACCCTTGAGAAAGTGATTCAATATTTGCAGCCCCTAAAAGAGGCCAAAAGACGTAGCCATGTCTACTTACAATGTTGCAAGTTTTGAGTTCCGCACCGGGAACGTTCGTAGGGCTGAGTACACAACTTACGTTCCAGACAGGGAACGCTAGTAAGATAAAGGTTAAACTCTTGCAATGCATTCCAATGATGGGTTCAATGTCCATAAGGTAATCCTCCAGAGAGGAGGCATTCATCAGTCAGAAATTCAAAATAACAAAATATGTAACTGAAAAAGTTTCCCTGAAAAGCATCGAAGTTAAGTGCATGAACCTGTCCAACTTACAACAAAAGGGGTGTTCAAGTTCCAGGATAAAGGGGTGTCCAAGATATAGGGTATTGTGGACATGTAAAATTATAGGATATTCACCGGTTCCAATTAAAAGTGTCCAATATAAAGGGGTGTCCAGGATATAGAGATGTCCAACTTGAGGGGTTTTACTGTAGTATGTTACAGTTTGCTGCAGATATGGGCTTCATATCTAAATATTGTTATATCTTTGTGTTTACTGCACTCTTCTGTTGTTCCATTTATGTTTCCTGTGTGAGGACTTCTTGTTTACCTAGTTGTCAGTGGATGAATGGGGGTTTCTGAGCCAACTGCCATATGTTTGTAGAATGTGGCTTCTTTGTCCACTTGTATGTGGATGCAGTGTGGATCCCATCCTACCGCACAGTGCACAGTGTGAGTTCATTTCTACATTTGCGTGTGATTATCATCTTTGGAATTTGCAGCGGTGGACATAGTCTTCTTGTTTTGAAGTAAGTGCTATGTCGTCTTGTTTTTAAGGAAGTGTTTATGGTAGCAGAAGAGAGAAAAATGGAAACATGTTATAAATAAACCTGAAGTTGAAGGTACGTTTTGCATCAAATCACATTTCTTGCACCTTGATGTGCAGAAAATATTAAACAGTTTTTTCACCTGTGTGTCTTGTTCAATTTATCAATGGAGTCGCTCGATTGCAAATAATTTTTTTTTATTATTATGAATTATAAATTCATGCGCATTCATTGAAATTAAGAAAGAAAAAAGAAAAAAATAATAATAATTGTTTTGTATATTTTTGTGCAAAGAAAGCTCAGAATATTTGTTACTGGAGTAATGTGACTACTCTTCATTGTTAAGCAGTCCTATTGGTCTAAAACAGTTTTAGTAGAATTATATAAACCATTTCAGTACTACTGTAAGTGCTGATAATCCTGAAGACTTATTCACATGGTGGTCCCACTGTGTGAATTGGGTCACATGTATGGTTGTACACTTCCTGTAGACTTGGCAGTCATTTATCCCAGGTTAGGCATGTCAGTTGTATGGCAACTTGAAATAACATGAAATATGTCACATGCTAGAATTCCTATTAATGTTGCACAACCTCAGTTTCTCCTTCAGTCAAATTAATTTTATTTTGTCTCTACACAATTGCATGTGTTATTTTGGTCTTCAGGTAGTGTAGTAGACTGACTTTGGATTTCTTGTTCAATCTTGAATGAATTAATTGACTAACTTCACTCATTCTGTACTCATTACTGCTTCATCAAAAAATATTAACAGATAAATGATAATCTGTACATACTTCTGTAAATTTGTTACGTTTATTTAATTTAGTAAACAGATGACTGATCATATGACATATAAACAGTAAACGTTTCATTAAATGTAGAATATACAGTATCAGAAGTTGAGTTTAAATTTTTTGGTTGTGTCTGACAGATTCACATTAACTGTTGTGTGTTCTGCTGTATTATCTGGTAACATAAGAAGACACACATGCATGATATGAGGCATTTTTACTTGTATATATATTTATATGTTTATTAAAATAATTTATGTCTTCTGATTTGCATTTATAATTTTTCTCTATCTGTGCAATAGGCCAGCTGCCTGCAGATTAGACAAAAAACAAAATCCTTCTAAACCCATTTGAAATTATACTTATGTCGATGTTTGAACTTTTATTTTTGTAAATTTTTAAACAAAATAATCCCTTTAAGAAAGAAAAGACTGAATAAAAATTGGTAAACATATTGTTAAAATTTGTGTTGTTGATGGCTGCCAAGTCAACAGCTAGCAGACAGTTTTCCTAACAGCTTTAAAATAAAATTTGGCTACCAAAGATTTTAAATCACTCCACCTCGTTTGTAATGGTGGTGAATTTGATGAATGTTTGTTTCAAGTGGTGATTGCAGTATTTGCTGTAAAATTAGCCAAACATCGTGCTTGAACAAGGAATCAGAGTGAGATCATTCATTTTAGATTAAGATCACTTAAAAAATATGCAAGATGTGGATACATTACATAGATTTTAATTCTATATTATTAGGAATATGCTTGCTGCATTATTGAAACCTAGTTAAAAATGTCAGGTACTGTGAGATTCCTTGTTTTAACACAATTTGTCTTCTTGATTGCAGTAAGTATTACGACCCCTGTGGAGGTCACAAGGAAGTACCTATTTGGGGGGGTGCAAAAAATAAAGTTGCAAAAGTGAATGCTTAGACATTGGAAGAGATAGTACAAGTATATAATAAAATAAAAATTGAATATTTGAATATGTATATTGACATCAGTTGTTGAATATTGTTAGTTATTTTTCATTAGTCAAGAATTTTGCACCTGCCCAGTGAATGGGTCTTATAAAAGGTAAATGGCTGAGATAGCGTAATGTTGATGTATGAATATAAAGTGATTATTGTGATATAACTGGCCAAAATATTGAGTATCAACCCATATATTTCTCTTTTATCTGGAGTATTTTGTTTATGAAAAATATTTGAATTCATACAGTGGTCCTTATGTGTTCTATGGCTCAAATTCATAAAATGTTTATCTGCAGTTAAATGGAAATTTGACAGAGTTTAATTTCAGTTCTTAAATTGCTGTCTTCTGAGAAGATTAATCTTTTCGTATGGTTTAACTTCACATGCATGAAAATAACAGTTGCTTTTGAGCTATTACATTTGCTTCCATTATACTCTGTACATAAATAGATCCATTCCTGAAATGTAATTTCAGTTTGTTTCTTGATATCACAGAGTTCCTGAAGTTAAGCTTTGTCAATGCAGTCTGTAGCAGCACTGTCAGCATGTGGTTACCATTTTGTTTATTGTCTCCTAACTATGGAAAGGAACTGTAAAAACACTTCTTTGTTCACATTTTATCTGGATACTTAAACAGCAATACATCACAAAGCACAGTTACATTCCTTGTCTTATATATTTGTTAGAATTTTTTCCAGTTGAATTCAAAAGTAATTATTGTTTTTTTGTAGCTGGTTCTATAATTTACATTTCATTAGCCTTTCTGCATTAATTTCTACCTTCCTGGTAATGTTGGTCCATAACCTTTATTGTCCATGCATTAAGGCTTATGCATCACACTAGGGTATCACTGAACCATTTACCTCAAACTTAAAGTCTGGCTGGCAGCCCGTGGTTTGTGGTTTTAAATCCCAATTTCCTATACAATAAAGATTGATGTAAAAATAGGAATATGATTTAAGCATCATTTAAGATGAAAATATTGAACATGTTGAATAAAATGGAAACATGGGAACAGAATGAAAGTTTAATACTGATGACAAATTGGTTACAGCCCTGTATTAGTAATTTTAGGTTGCAGTTTTAGCTGGTGGATTAATTGGTCCATGCATGAAAATTACAGAAGGTTAACATTCCTTTCCTCATAGTGCTTCATCTTAATGATCTTAGATTACCTCACAGTTTTGTGAATGACCTCCTTGATGGCCTGTTGCATAGCTCAGCACAAGGGAATGATGGTGATGGGCAAATAGTTTATCGGTGACAAACAGTACATATAATATTCAACCCTGGGGTCCAGTGGCAAATCCTGATCTCCAAGTAAGATTGTGTGGAAATGCAATACCATGGAATTACTATATTGTCATCAGAGGCTTGTTCTAGTGGTTGAAGCTTGAATTGCAAGCCATTGATGTGCTTTACAATGGTAAGTATTAATAAACACAAAGTTCTTTGACAGATCAGAGTCGTGTCATTATTTCATAGAAACTGTCGAGTTTTTTTTTTGTACAGGAAATTTAACAAATGTACCTTTACAGAGATGGGTCAGCTTGCTGATAGCTGAGTGGAGGAAAAATAGAATGCTAGAGTTAGCATGGTAGTACTGGCAAGTGTAAAGGGATGGACTCGGCATGCCACCTATACTAAGTTAACCTTCTTGCTGCAGTGGTTGAACCATCTTAATTAGCCTTCATTTTTATTGTAATCTTTTAAAGGTATAAAAATTATCAGGGTTAGGAGTATGCAATATGAAATTTGAAGCTGTACTTTAAATGTAGCTTATATCATAAAATGTTACACATTTTTTCTACTGAAATGGAGAAAGAATAGTCATTAATTGAATATCCTCAATTAGGTGTTTTATCTCATTGCTACTAGAGATCTTTAATGTAGAAAATCCATTTTAGTCTCTGACATTAATTTTCTAAGAACCAAATTAATCAAATGTGTATGCCAAAATATTTATTTCATTGAATTATGTGAATTTCCTCAGAAACATATTTTGACTTGTTGAAGGTAAAAACAAAACATTCCCACAATAAAATGTCTTCAAAGAATGTATCTGCCCTGTAATAAAACCATAAGTTCAAGTGCAAAAATGTCGTCAAAACAATATGATATAAAATTAATATTTCTCAGAGTCAAAAAATAATTTTTTATGGAGGTGAAAATCCACAGTATCTGATATTAATCACCTAACAAGAGAAACTGAATTTAAAATAAAACAACCGTTTCCAATCCCAATAAGTAGCCTTATACAGGGGAGGTTGTATCCATTTGTCTGTTTATCAACAAAACTACTGAATGGATTTCAGTGATTTCTAGTATTGGTATCTACACCAAAATCTGTAGGCAAATTTAACCCTTTGAGTGCTACACACTTCTACAGAAGTGCATCCATGTTACAGAAATGTTGAACATATGGGCTTTGCATTAATATTCAGTTCAACTGCTTGGACTACTGAGGTAACAGAATCTGACATCTATGGGATAGATTTAAGAATCATTTAGTGGCATAGTAGCCTGGTATCCTGTGACAGCGAGTGCGAACACTTGACCTTGTCTTCCAGTTCCTATTGGTCAGCATGAAACAAAGCAACAGACGTGTCACCAGTTACCATCAGTGAGCGCGCTACATAGGATGTTTCATTTCGCAGTTACCCTGAGGATGAGAGCAGAGATGGCTCTCGAAACGGAGGAAGAAATGGTTCATTCACCATTCAGCCACCTGATGCGGCTTGTTGCCTGAGTCTTTCATCAACATTGGAAGGGTAAATTTTGTGTATGAAAACCAAGCTTATAGTAAGTGGGCTAATGTTGAGTATACAATCAAATTTTCAAAGAATACCCTGCACCACAGTGTATGTGAGTGCATATAGTGACAGTGATGGTAAAAGATGTCTATGGGCCTTCTCAATCAGATTTGCAATCTTAAGATAAAATAATGCATGTATTAAAAATACAGCAATATGAAAAACCTAAAGCAACAAAAACTAATCAGGGCATTAATGAAGCCTGTAAAAACATAGTAACAATAACCCTTAACTTGTAAGACTTGAGGTTCTCACAGCGGTGAGTATGAAGATTTCTGTCTTCTGGGTTGTTGCGCTGTGTAGTCTGGTCGATGTTAACCAACGTTTCAGAGGTCATACTGCTTCTGTCATCAGGGCGATGAGTATGAAGATTGACCTCTGAAACGTTGGTTAACATCGACCAGACTACACAGCGCAACAACCCAGAAGACAGAAATCTTCATACTCATCGCCCTGATGATGGAGGCAGTATGACCTCTGAAACGTTGGTTAACATCGACCAGACTACACAGCGCAACAACCCAGAAGACGGAAATCTTCAACCCTTAACTTACTTAAGCTCAAATTAATCATAATTACTTTTCTCAAAAAACAGTTCAACATAAAAAATTGGTGCATGACATAAAATAAAGATCATATTAGAAACTAAAATTTTTATTTGAGATGTTTTATATAGTGAATACTTGACAAAATACAAAGAATAATAATTTCTTTCTGACTCTTATACAGTGTCAGTACTTTTGAAATGTAACTGTATAAAATTAGCATGAATGTGGACATGGTATGCAATCATAATGAACTATATATTCTTGTATCACTATTGGTGATAAAATGATATGAGCTTACAGAAAGACAATAACATCAAATATACTTTATTATGTGAAGAACGAAATCACAGACTGAATTGACATAATTCACAGAATCAGAATATGAACATTTTCTCTTAACAATTCTTTACATGTAATTGACATAAGTATATATAATTGGACACCATTTCCCATTGAAATACTCATACTATCAATACAATTTTTGTGTTAAAAACACATATAAGGGGTCAAAGTCAACTTTCCATAATCCACAGCATAGCATGGGTGATAAATTTTTGTATAAGTAATTTTTCTTTCTTACTCTTAATATTTGCAGTTGAAGCGCGTCATTTCACTTCAAGAGCACCTGCAAGGTAATAAACATGTTAATACCGGGTTCAAATCTTGTCTGGGTTACTGGCTATGCTTTTATGATTTTCCCCCAAGTCATCCAGGTGAGTCAGATAATACACTGAAACAAACCATGACCATCTTGTTCCAAATCCCTAATTACTATTTATGATCATCTTCCCATCTCACTGAACATTACAATCAGTACTACTGCTTCATATTCTTAAGGTCTTGGATTCAAACCTCAGGACAGAGGCAAAACGAAAGTCCGAGTTGTAGGATGTCCACCTTCTGGGTTATATAGCAACATGTAGTCTGGTAGAAGTTTGCCAATGATTCATAGCCCTGATGATGGAGGCAACAAGGACCTCTGAAATGTTGGTAAACTTCTACCAGACTACATGACACTGCAATCCAGAGGACGGCCATTTTAGTACTCAGTGCTGTGAGAACCTGATATCCTACCTAAAGAGAAATTGGTTCTAGTTTAAATCTTTGGACAATGCAATTCATCCCAAAAAACAGCCAGTAAATGTGACAGATTACATTAAAACCTAGACAGAATTCAGTTGGAAAGTCAACCTGTTTTTATAACAAATTATATTATGTTTAATACAATGTAATACATGTGCTAAGAAACATACTACTTTTGAAAATATTTTAATGACAGACAGACCTTTTATTTTGGTTTCCTAAATTACTATGTATTGTATTAGTGGCACAAACTTTTAAAATATCATTTCTGAAAGATATGCATCCATATAAGACACTGATTACAAAGATCATTCACATTTTCAAATTTGTAATAAAATAACCATTATATTTCTATAAACAGACCAATATAAAGAAAATTGTTTCACCTGTCAGAGTTTCTTATATTGAAAAGACTGATATGGCAATTCATGAAAGGTATACAAAACCTTGACAGCCTATGATTCTGATACCTTCTTACAGTTTTTCACACCATACAGGTGATGCAACATCATCGTGGACAATTAATATTCTAAAGAAACCAGTTGTTGTGTGCCAGACAGAACTATAAATTATAACATTGTATTACCTTTTCATATTAAAATATACAAACAGCATATGGTATGCCACATGTATATACTGTAAATTATTTGACAGTCATATAATTTTTATTTTTATCAATAATGACATCGTTGATGAGTAACTACTTAATAATTTGGCAGACCACAAGTTGTTAAAAAACAGCAAGTATGTTCCTAGGTCTTGAAGGGTTGGTAATCCCTGGGATTTTTAAAATTAAATGACAGTTTAATTTACACATATTTAGGCAGATATGCCATTACTTTTGCACAACAAATCACAAGCACTGCTTCACTTATTATGGAATGTATGCCAAAGAAATAATAATGTCCACTATATCAGTGAAGAAGTTCTTAACAATTTTTGATAGGTCAAAACTTATGTAAATGTATATTAGACTGTGAAGATGAGGGGGGACATTTTATATTACAGTCTCAAACATACCTAATATGTCTTAGTACCAATGATGTGACTGATGCCACTATATAAACACATGACAATCAATCATATTTTATTTGCAACATGTTTCTAATAAACAGGTGGCATACATGAATAGTTTGAACACAATTTTCATGCAGTTGCCTGTTTTTAAAGGAAAAAATCTTTAAAATAATCACATTCCACACTAGGCCATAACTTCAACACTTACACACCCAACCATATTATCAATATTCACAGAAATATTACATCAAAACAGAAGACTGTTTGCTCATACATGGCCTACTATGTACACATACTGCTATACAATGCAGAAAAATAGATTTTTGTGTATTGATGCTCAACAATGATTATATAAATTAGTGTAATTTCACAGCTTTCACATATCTGATCACAAAACTTTAACTTTTCTGGATATCTGGGTGATGTTAGCTTTCAAATGAGTGATCATACATTTCTGTAAATGTTTCCATTTGCTCACAATTTCTATTACCTTACAGAATTTTATATATAAATTCCTTGCATTTGTTTATTGACTGCTTTGAACTTTGTTATACATTTTATGATGGACTCACCATTTTCTGGTTTCTGTTGTCTGCAGTTCAATCTAGTAAAAATGACAAATGGCAATTACAGATATGAGCATAGAAAGAATTATTGGGAAGACATTAAGTACACACATATTTATGCTATACCACAATCATAACTATTCTACCACACCATGTCCTGTACATACAGGAAATCACTTTTTAAATTTATATTATTTCATTCAACAATGATAAATTGCTGTACAACACAAGATTTTCACAAAATATACTTTAAATGCTTCTGTGGTTAAATTATTTCTTAAAAAAGTATATTTGAGCTTACTTTTGAGGTGGGATATGTGCTTCCCATTAATGAAGAGTAGGAAAGTTATGTTATATATTCTGTTACCCAAATATAATTTCATTTAATGTTGTTGACAATTTTAATTCACAAATGCCATATTCAAACATCAAGAGAAACTCATTAACATACATTCATATCAATCATGAACATACATTTTAGTGTCACAAATTAGCTGAAATTTACTATAAAAGACATACCACACATTCATCTTAAAGATACTATTCCATCACAGCAAACAATGTAAACTCCAGAAACCAAATTTGTATGATATCATATATCAATCTGAAGCCCTGGTTTAAGGCACAAAATACTAGTCTAATACATCACATATAGAGGACCTGATTCCAACAACTGCAGGAAGAATTCTGATAGGAACACAACATCTGGTATGAACCTGAACAAAGATAACCACAGTTTATAGTTACAGCATTAGCAATTATTGACATTTCTCCCAACCAACAGCTTCAACAGTATTTTTGTAGTGAGCTGCCTTTGTCAGTAGTGTAGTTCAGATGTTCTATTTTAGGTAACGCATGCAGACACAGTCTTCTTGACAGCATCACGAGCATAGGGAATATATGACAGGGAGTACCATGTCATTGCTAGGGACTGGATGATCACAAACACCAGAGCTAGGCCAGCTTTATGGAGCTGCAAATACATGGAGTAGCAAGTAATTAAACAAAATCAGAAATCAGATCAAGTACCTAAAAAGTAATTTAATACCTGAGAAAGAAGTATATTCCAAGAAATCACTTATGTACTATATTCTGTCCCTAGTTTGTACTGGGGCAATCTGTTAACGTTTATATTTCAAGTTATGCATGGAAAAGACAGAGAAAAATAATTAAGACTCCATTAAAAATTGTTATAATCTTGTCTGCTTTCCAAAACTGTACATATAGAAATTTCTGAAGATGTAAAAATATAACAAGTGGTTTATGGTAGACTAACTAGGATGATGTCACTGACAAGGGATAGCCTGAAAACTCTGTCTTACACTCATCTCCCAGACAGCTACTAAGTGAAAGTGATGACACAGGCTACCAAAGAAAGTGGTTCCTGCAACAACTGTTCTAAACAAATTTGGTTAGCCTGAATCTCATATACTTACCCCAACAGCTGCAAATAGTGTGAGCCCGAACATCACAATGACAATAATGGTGGCTATTACTCGTGTTGGAGCAAACATTTTTTTTAATTGATTCACTGGACCCATGAGGAAACACGTACTGGAAATAAATATGTAACAAGCAGTTTAAAAACTATATAAAAAATAAATAATTATGGATCAATAAGTAGTTATTAAACATTTCCTCTCCAGTTGTTTACATCAGATATGATTATTCCCTCTAGAACTATAAAAACCCCAATAAAGACAAGGCTTCGCAAGGGATCTAACTTATACTCTACAGTTTTCCTAAAGTGTGTATCAATAAGATGCTTAATGGGTTTAAATTACTTGACAATGAAGCACAACTTAACACTCTGTAAACAACTTGGCACATTTTAGAAATGAAAGCTCACCTTAGTATGGTTATAATGTTGCCTAATGTGTAGAATACTGCGAACACTGCCATGCCTGTAGGCATGAACAAGAACAACGATCCAAGAATAGAACACAAAATACCGATGACAAAACAGATAATGAATCCTTTTATTCTTGTTTCCCAGCTTAGTGTTGTTGAGTCTAACAACTGAAATGATAAGCATAATTTATTATGACACCTCATAGCACTGGTTCATGTACCTCACACATTGGGAATTCAAATTATTTATTTACTTATATTTTACCTGAGGCATAATACCACTTTCTTCATCAGGTTGGCTGTCATCACCACTAAGAGCTCTTCTCAGTTTATCCATATCTTTTAAATAAAAAGTTTCTGGTACAGTACGGATGCTCACTGTTTAATGAAATGTCAAATAACGCTATGTAACAGGAAACACCTCGTTATTTATGATCTGCAACACGACGAATTATGTATATATTACATCAAATAGACACCAAGAAGAGCTTAAGTACTCTTATGGATAGTTTGCCATTTCATAAACCATCGAAATATGCAACAAGTGGACTTTCTTTGAACAAACGCCCCCAACTCACCATACAAAACAAGATTTCTTCTTCATTCCCTGTGGATGGGACCACAGAGGTTTTGACAGCCACAATTCAGCGGGCCTGCTGTTAAAAAACTGCAACGCCATATTATTTCACAAAGTACATAAATGTATACTCAGTAGTGTTACCGCATTAATTTGTGCCCGGAAATTATGCGAATATTTTAATTAAGTCGATTCTTAACTCAAGAAAATATGTTTTATAACTTAATTCGTGAAACAAAATGTTTCTTTTGCCATAAAATGGCACTGTAACCTAGATTACAAAGAAGTACCATAGAAAGTAATCTGTGAATTGTGGAGAGAGAGAGAATTTATGTGAGTTTGTGGTGTGCGGGTTTGTTTTTGGAAGAATTTTTACATTTAATGAATCAGTATTAATTGTATTTGAGTTATGGAGACAATTCTAGAGCAACAACGAAGATATCATGAAGAGAGAGAACGACTTATGGATGCAATGGTAAAGGAAATGCTTCACAAAAAGTCTGGTGTAAGTAGCTCTTAACCAATTTTTGTTTACTATGGCCGAGAATCAGTTATAGATTTTAGTGTCTTTAATGTAATGTAGCAGTGTTGTCAGTCGGTTTGTTTTGTGCAAGGATTTAGACTAATCACAAGATACAGGAAATGGATTCACAAAAATTTGGATTTTGTTACAAGAAAATGTCAAAAACTACTAGAAATTTCAATGGCTTGTGTGAGAGATGGATTTTGCACCTTTATTCTTCACAATAAAAGTGATGCTGTCATACACATTAAACCTGAATTCCAAATAGTGGTTGCTAAACAGTCCCAAAACCAGTGGTGAATGCCCCAATCTGGCTGGTAGTGTGCTACCAGACCACTAAAATTAGAGGAATATACTAGTTTTTGCTGCTATTGTTATCATCATTATCATCAAAATACCTTTGCATTGTAGTGTACTTGTTAGAGGGATCTAAAAACAATTTTCATTCTTATTAGATATAATTTCTCTTACAGGTTTCTTGCTTGTTTTGTTTCCACTAGAAATTTTGCACATTACAATGTTATCATTCTCTCTTCTTGTTTTCTCTCAACTGGATTTTTCAGTTCATCTAGATGTAAGAGACAGGACAAAGTCTAATAAATATAAGTCTATTCATAATTTAATTGTAGAAAGTAATTTTAACTAATGATATATGTGTAAATAATATTTTCTTTTATTTCAGTATCGTGAAGTAATAAACTCTGATCATCGGCTGAAAATGCTGCTTGATGTAAGCTGTAAAATTAATTTGATCATTCTGATAGTAAATGATTGTGGTGTCATGGAGTATAGGTTTCTCAATACAGTGGAAAGTGTTTTACAAGATATCACTCTCTCAAACACTTGACATTTTTATGATGAGCACTGAAATTTTAAGAAGAAGTATTATATAGATTGCATGTTTTGTTGTAATATGAATTGCAGAATGTACTAGTGAAGAATGGTTTGCTGCTGCATATAGACAGGTGCCAACCATACAGTATGTTGTTGTACTGATTATAATGTGGGTTAATATTTAATTTTGGTGACATTTATATCATCATCTCATTAGTGTATGGGAGATATATAAGTTGTCACTCTTGTAATCTGTTACTGTCGTTAGTTTCTGTTTTCATAAACGGGCATTGTGGCTCTCAGTAAGTACAATACAGTCTATGCAATTATATAAATTTGCATCAATTTCTTTCTGCACTAAAATTTGTTCACCAAATTCTTTAGAAAGGAAACGTCTTACAAAATATGGACATATGCCATAAAATATAAATGTCTTTAATATCTACAGTTCATAATTCTGACATTTATTGATATGTTTAATCTTTTTCCTTTTTCTTTTCTTAGTTGTTTAATATTTAAGAAGAAAAGTAGAAGATTAGGTCAGATTTGAAGGTCTAACCCCAATGAGTGTGAAGATGACTGTTATCTGGGATGTAACACTTAATAGTGTGACAGACATTAACTGACATTTCAGAGGACCGCACTGCCCCCCCCCCCATTATCAGGGTTCCAGAAGACAGTGATCTTCAAGTAGATGATTAGGAAAATATAGGATGGGAAAGGGTTTTTGTGTTTGCAAAGTGGGCAGTTCTGATTGCCCAAAGTAGTCAGAAAGTCTCCTTTTTGTATTTCTGTTGAATTCTGGTGAATTGTTACCAAAATCCATTTGCCGAAAGTACTGTTAATGCTAAGTTAGAGATAAAATTACCTCTCCATGTGGTACTTGTGCGCTGTTCGCTTTGATTTTGCAAAGTAGCAGATCTGTTACATATCTGACCCTCAGTCTGACTTATTGATTTGAATGCCTGGGTTTGGTTATTCTGAGAGAGGTTTTCATAATTTCCTCAAGCTGAATAGTGGGTTAGACCCTTAAAAATTGGTCATAGCCACTTTCTTTTCCATCCTATTTCATCACAGATACCATAATTAATTACTCATTATTTGATACTAAATAAACTGTACCATTGATAAATGCTAATATGTAAAGAACTGATAAATTAACTAGAGAAATTTTTCAGCTTTTTTAGTCAGTGCAGCATGTGTTATACTTATTTAATCTTATAATGCCATACTCAGTTCAGTGCTAAAATGAAATGTGACAGAGAGATCAGTCCCATATATTAAACTTGTCCAACGTTGGGTATTGCTTGTATTCAACTGTCTCATGGTGGCAGATGTGAACATTATGCCAGTGGTGACAGAAAATATAAATTTTGGTACTTCTGATCAGTAAAATTTGAAGAAACAAGTAACTGCATGGGGCAGGGTCTGTCATGTGAAGCTAATATTGAGTCAAGAGATTCTCAGCTCTTTATTGAACCAAAAGGTTCATTACTATGTTCATACAAATCCAACACTGGATCGTGTCCTGAGCCAAATGAGTCTAGTCTGTTTCCTTAAGTCCAAAAGAACAGTTTTACAAATTAAAATTTTCCATTTGTGAAGTATTGTGTTCAATACACAGCTTGCTTTTATGTTATTCACAACTTTCATAACATTGACATATTTATTTTAGCATTTCATGGATAGCACTAACAATTTGAAGGAGTTATATGAAGATAAAGATGGTCTGCGGAAGGAAGAAGTGGCAGCACTGTCTGGACCAAATGAATTTGCAGAATTTTACACAAGGTTGAAGGGTATCAAGGATTTTTACCGACGTTTGCCAAATGAGGTAAGAAGTGATGATTACTTTTCTTAATTTGAGATGAGATACTTGGTTACATGATTTATGAAAGTATGGATTAAAATTATCCATCATAAAAGATATCTGAAAAAGTGAAATATTTTCTGCGAAATACCATATATTCATGAGTTTATTAACTGATTCTTTGTGTAATTATGGTCATGTTTATTTCACACAGCAAAACATCTGTATAGATTATTGCCACATTTGCGTGATTGTAAGGCCACAGTAAAGATGATGTTAAGTATAATAATGATATAGTACATTTCTGCCCAAGCTTTGCCAAGTATGATGTCGTCCTTCCTAGGGTAATATTCCAGTTGGTATCCATTTAGACAGAATATTTCATTGTTTTCTTTTATATTTAAAAATATAATGCATAAAATACGTGGATCAGTTTTTATAAATTTCACAAAAGGATGTGTGAATTACACAGTGGTGTGATTTGTACAATGAAATGTGGTGATACATATTCACGTGTTGTTCGAGTCTGAATCATATTTTGTTTTTCAGGTCAGTGTTCCTATGTCCGTAGAGTTTGAAGAGCTGGCCAAGCTAAGAGATAATCCTTCTGATGAACAAGCTAGTAAGTATTGTGTACAAGGAAAGTGTTAAATTTAATTGGACACAGTGGGACAATTAGGTGTTCATATTTAACTAGTCTGATTTTTAGTTATAGAAATGCATGTTGATATTCTGTGTTGCAGATATGGTAGAGTTTACAGATGAGGAAGGGTATGGCAAGTACTTGGACCTTCATGAGTGTTACGAGAAGTATGTGAATCTGAAGGGCATAGAGGTATGCAACAGTTCTTATAGCCATAGCTGTACAAACTGCAATTTGTCAAGTCACTGGTAATTTGGTAAAGTTGTATGCAGTCCAATTAATTACAGGAAAGAAGCAATTCCTAACAGGCAAGTCACTGGTAATTTGGTAAAGTTGTGTGCAGTCCAGTTAATTATAGAAAAGAAGCAATTCCTAATAGAAAAAAGGCAAAGTCTAGTTGAACATATGTGAAAGTTGTTATATTTTAGTTAAATAATTTAAGAATGAATGTCACTATGTTGAAGTTTATACTGAAAATTTGTTAAATTAAAAATATACGCAACTCAGAGAAAAGAAGGAATTTTTAATAGGCAAACTATTCTTAGAAGACAGAACAAATATTATGTGTGAATTCTAGCTTTTGTAAGAAAATCTTTGGGCCTTCTGGCATTGCTTTTTGTGACAATTGTTTGAAGTCGTGTTCCTTTTTTATAAGGTGTGCAGTGCTACTCGAGACATTTATTGCCCTTTTTTATAAGGTGTGCAGTGCTACTTGGGACATTTATAGTGTTCCTACAGCAGTCCCTCCTGTTAAGATACACATCTAAAACTCCACTTATCAATTAAATTAATAATTATCATAGAACAATAAATAGGTGTTTGGTAGGTTGAAGTAGTGTGGGATTTTTGTATATAACTTTCATGACACGTGTGACATTATGAATTACAGAAGGTGGATTACATCACATATCTGACAACATTTGATCACTTGTTTGACATCCCTAAAGATCGTAAAAACTCAGAGTACCGCAAGTATCTGGATGTTCTGTTGGATTACCTTCACATGTACTTGACACGAGTCCGCCCACTGTTAGACCTGAACGCTGAACTGGAGAATGTGCAACGACAGTTTCAAACCCAGTGGGAAGCTGGCACCTTCCCTGGCTGGCCCGTAAGATATTTGATTATAATTAACTCCATAGTACTAAGTCTTCAGTAGGATGATTTATCAAGAAATTTCCTGCTTGTATTAAACTTGATTTTCAATTCTGTGTTTATGAAAGTCTTCCATTGGACCCTGTCCTGAGCAGCATAAATCGAATCCACAGCTTTCACACTGTTTCTTTATGACCTACTTTAATATTATTACCCTGCCTGCATCTAAATCTTTTGAAATAGCCTCTGTACTTGTAGTTGTCTAACCACAGTTTTATTTTTATTTTTCACCTCCCTCATGTACACTAAATGTTTTACATATCTCATCCTGCATTTAATCATTGTAATATATTAGGTGAAGATTGCAAATTTGAATTTGTCATGATGTAATTTGTATTATATATTTTATACACATAGAATCTCATTACAACAGAGTCTGATGGACAATATATTTTACTCAGTGTAGCAAAGATTGATTCTGTTAAAAATGTGAAAGTCATTCTTGAAGACATAAATTGCATTATTATAGTACTAAGGAATTACAAAGTAATTTCTTCATTACACATGAGTCTTCCCTCACTTAATATCTCCATCTGTTTCTTGCTTTCCCCAGTATATATATTAATTAAACACATTCTTTTCTTAAACTCTGAAAGGAGTTGTGTTTTTGCCTGTAGCACATGGCCATACCACTATAGCATTAATTTCACCAACATTGCCTGTAGTGTTTCTTCTGTTAGATTTCTCCTGATGGTGTCATTTTGCATTTTGTCCCATGTTTGTTGATTAATACTCTGTATAAACTTAATTTCTGTTACGTGTAATATACTTTCATCTCTTGCAATTCCAACTTTCTCCTCCATATATCAAAATAGTCGGGTAATTAAATTGTGTAATACAACTTTAAACTTTTCTGAAAGTTCTGTATAACAGATGATAATTACTAATTGTTTATAAAATTTTCTGGCTTTAAAAATTCTCTCTAAATTTTTTCTCATATTTTTAACATTTGATGAAATTGTGCTACTCAAATAAAAAAATATATTTTGTTTATTTTTTTGTGTATAATGTCATTTACAATCCTACCACATGTAAGAAATAAAATATGAGCAGATTTAGTTTAAATTGGAGCCTTTGTTTGCTGTTAGATCATGTGACTGTTTAAATCATATATATATTTTGCAGAAAGAAACTGGCAGTGCACTGACACATGTAGGTGCACATTTGGACCTTTCCGCCTTTTCATCGTGGGAGGAATTAGCTTCCCTCGGACTTGATCGTCTCAAATCTGCTCTCATGGCTCTTGGACTTAAATGTGGAGGGTAAGTTTCATTGTATTCACCATTTTATGGTATAATATGTATTACTCCTATTTTGTATTTTCAAGGTACTTGGTATAAATCGAATTGCTATTTCAATCTGATACAAGATTGAAATAAAACCTTTTCCATTCTCAGAACTCTAAAAAAGCAATGTCAAAAAATGTTGCTCAGTAACAGGGGACATAGACTAGGTGTGTAAGTTTGCATGAACTCACGCCAACTGCCTTCTACCTAACTTCTCACAGGGCAAATTTCTCATAAAAACAAGAATTTATATCTGTTCTGAACCTATGCCCTACATAAATTAACCAACTATACCTATTTATGAACAAAATCTAATTTTTATAAAACCTGAAATTTGTAACTGTAAATTTTATGTCTTCTCAGCTCTGAAATTTAATGCCCCCTTGAAATCATTATCTTCTTCGATACTGTCACCCACTCTTCTAGCTAACCAGAAAGTACAATTTGAATCGATGGATAATGTAATTGCAGGGTATCTAGTTTTATAACCATTCCGTGGCTTATTGTAGGACTTTGGAGGAGCGAGCCCAGCGGTTGTTTGGCACAAAGGGCAAGAAGTCATTAGATCCATCACTGTTTGCAAAGAACAAGCCAGGCAAAGTGGGACGAGGCAAGGAGAGTGAACGCCAGCGTGAGATTTCTTCCCTTGAGGCTCAAGTATACAGGTGACTTTACATTTTTATTCATGTTCTATGGTAGTCACTCTCCATCGCTTGTCAGACTGGTTACTGTCCTGTGGGACTAAATGATGCTGCCCGCGGCCCTTCCCACGACGCTGTGGCGCCATCTCGGCCACATGACCGTCAAGGTCACTCGGATTACACCAAGACAGCGGACTGCTGCCACCTGCCGGGTCGAAATCATAGCTCCAGTCTAAGTCATTTGTATACACCCCTCGTATATAGTCTGAACAACTGACAGCATCATAAAGCAAATAACAGACAGCAACAACAACAACATCATCATAATGATGGAGCAGAGTTTGTCTTTAGAAGCTAATATTTGCTCAGCTGGTCAAGAAATTCCATGCCTGGAACCTATATTCATAATAGCTGGCTACAGGTTCTTATCCTCAGCGAAATAAATGTAGTCTGTACTTACATACCGATTTGTTTTAGGTCTATGCTAATATCATTAGGGGTCTGCAGTGGCCGCGCGGTCTGAGGCGTGGGCCTTCTGCCGCTTGGTCGCTGGGACCGTGGGTTCGAATCCCACTCAAGCCGTGGATGTTTGTCCGCGTTTTTCTGTGTTGTGCTGTCCTGTAAATAGGTAGAGGCCTTGCGACGGGCCGATCCCTCGTCCAATGTGTCCTACCGAATGTCCATAGATCAAAGCCAACGAAAAGTTGGGACCCGCAGTGCTCAGACACTTGAAGAACAGGGCGTTCCCAGTATCCCAGTAATATCATTCATTTATCCTTGTAGAAGAGATGAGTCATAATTAGGTGATGTTTGTGGTCTGTTATGTGATATTTGTGTGTGAATCCTGTATTAGTAAGCAATAAAATAATTTTTGCTCATAATTTGCCACTTATAGTCATGTAATTACTATACTGTGTCAAAGTTTATTAGTTAATTATAATGTAACATTGTTTGAACAGATTCACAGAGCTCTTGTCAGAACAGAGGAATGCCACAAAAGAAAATGTTCAGAGGAAACAAGCTCGTACTGAAGGGGAGCGTGACGACTCTGATGCTGAAGCCAGTGCAAGTGAATCAGATGATGAAGATGATAGTGATGTCCCATACAATCCAAAGAACTTGCCGCTAGGTTGGGATGGCAAGGTTTGTTTTTATGTCAAGTTTTTTTTTCTTACTGAAACTGCGTTGCTTTATATTTTAATGAGACAAATTTTGCTCACACTGTAGGACGTTAGCATCTCATTGCAGACATTCAGGTTCAGTCCAAGGTATTGTGGAGAAAGTAGCACTATGGTGTTTTTCAGTTGAATTGGCTGAGTAAAGTTTTGCTGTTTGTAAGTGACCAATTAGCACAGAGGAGGTCTGCTGATAAGCAGAAGTAGTTCAGTGTATTCAAGAACCATGTGATAGAAGCGTAGACAGCCAAACTGCATTGTCGCAAGTTCATACCTGTTCTATGCGTACTTCTTTAACCTTGTTTTTTGAATGAGGAAAAAAGGCGTGGGTTTGTATAGCTAAAGTATTCATGATCACTTGATTCTTCGCATGCAGATAACAGTTTATCAAACCAATTTGCCTTTACTGCAGACAAATGTTTCACATTGCTACCTTTCGCACCACTGTGTGCTCTATGTATTCTTGCTCCCTCCCTCCTTTATTTTCTTCAAAGCGAAAGTATGTGTGATAGTTGTACTTTCCAGCTGCCAGTTATGGTGAAAAATGCTTAACCTGTTGACGCGGAAGTTTAAATACCCAGCATATACCGCTGTTGTGCTGTTCCGGCGGTAGTATTTTTTAAATGCCCGTTTAAATTTTGCTGTAAAATACGTTTTTTTCCATAACTTTTGAACTATATGAGATATAATTATGAATTTTTCACTGAAATCCTCTTAAAAGATGGTTTTGTAATCTTACCTTATAAGATGAGC